GGAAAAGGAACTGTGGTGCTCAGAGAATTCAGCTGTTGAGTTGGGTTTGGCATGGTGAGGACATAGAAGATGTGAACATTAAAGGTGTATCAGATAGTTTGCATCCTGTTATGTCCCTGGTCTAGGGGTGCAGAGACATAGCATAAAAGGACACGTGGAGAGAAAAACACTGTAAAGTAGGCAATTTATTGCCACCAAAATGTATATATTTACAATTTTAAACAAAAGAAGCATTTACAAAATAGAAAAAAACAGAACAATAGAAGCCTGGTTACAGGGTGGACTAAGGCCAAAACAACAAACAAAACAAACTATCTTATTAACCCAACAACTGAACTAAACCCTGGAAGAACAGAAATAAACCAAAATACATTTGCTAACCTCCCTCCCTAGAGTAAGCAAAAAATAGGAGAAAACGAATTCAAACAAAACTGGCAGTCCACCCCTACTGCTTCTGACTAGCATAAAAAATATTTACTATCTTAATCTTAAATACGAGACAAATAAATTCTCTGAAACCCGAATTCTAATATAACTAATCACAAAACTAACTACGAAAGCTGGTCATTCTTTGCACCAACACACACTGTTAACACAAGTCTAAATACTGAGCACTCAATCTGACACAAGACCGAAGATGTTTCAGGGACACGAAGCACTGCCGGCACAAAAAGGTGACTCCCTCCCATGCCGGCCGGAAGAGGGTGATTAAATACCGCCTCTTCTGGTGGTTCAACCAATCCCAAGCCTCCGGGTGTTCCAAGGATGACGATCCTGGACTGCTCATGAATGAAAGTAAAAAAACAGATGTGAAAACAAGAGGAGGTCTCACTCTCTCACACAAACAACAACCCAAACTCTTACGGCAGGGGCTGTAACACATCCTGATCAGCTTCATGCAGGATATATAAATGTCAACAATTAAAATGTGTCCTCATGACCAAGGGTGGAGGAATATAGACTAACAGAAAAGATAAAGATTCATTTTATGAAATGTTTATATCTTTTGTCTGACGTTTGGACATAATGTTACACATGAGGGCTGCAGGGTGGATCGGTGGTTAGCACTGTCGCCTCGCAGCTAGAAGGTCGCTGGTTTGCGTCCCGGTGAGGACACCCGGGATCTTTCTGGATGGAGTCTCCACGTTCTCCCCGTGCAGCGTGGGTTCTCTCTGGGTTCTCTGGCTTCCTTCCACAGTCCAGAAACATGTTGAGGTTAATTGGTGATTGTAAATTGTCCGTAGGTGTGAATGTGAGTGTGCTTGA